CAATTCAAATAATCGTTATTCAAACCAACTCCCATTCCCGCCACTACAGTATCGCATCGCCTGCGTATCGAAGCTCTACGAAACTGCCACTCAATTCCTGCGTTGCTGCAGTACTCGGCAGCCTGCTCATCGAAACCCATCCACTAGAAACGAGGTATACGACAGATAATGGTTTCGAAGCCGTGCTTTTGTTATGGGTTGAGCCATTTACAGGGTGTCCCAAAATTATGGGCGCCGGAATTCAAAAAATTTTAAGGTAGAAGTAATCCATCAAATTCACTATCTTAGATGGCTGTGGCTCATTCGATGCCACTTCCAATCCTTAGCATGAGAGAAGCATGAGGGTGTTATGAAATTTTTTGCGATTTCTATGGTGTCCGTACAAAGGGCCAAAGTTATACAGAGAAGAAGATTCAATCAAATACGAACCACGAGGTTGTAGAAAGGCAAGTTTTTGTAAAGATAGGATTTGCAAAACGGCCTGTTTTCGAGTTGACGCTGGTTGTCCCATGAAAAAGACTGCAAAAAGGCTGGACTTATTGAAGTTGTTGGTGGGGCAGATTCTCAAGCGAAGTCTTTATTGCCGTTCTTATCGTATGCAGGAATGTCGCATCACTTCCGATCTCAACCAACAGAGCAGGGCCAAAGGAATGCAGAGAGTTGCTAACTCACTTGCGAGAAGACACGCGAAGCACCATCGTCCTATCTGACTGAGGACTTTAACGCAAAACTTTTCCTTACCGAATAAAACGATAAAGTTCCAATTGGAATCATCGAGCGTGCTATCTCTCACAAAAAATTGCTATAAGAACAGCAAAAATACTTTTCGAGGGAGTTACTGGCAGGGGTAAAACGCCAGTGGTTTCCTCGGTACTGACGTGCTGACAGCCTCTTTTGGGGTCACAGGTTTATCCGAGGAAAGAACAGAAACCTTTCTGATGTGAACTGTGCCTTTGAGTTGAAAAGAGAGTGCATGGATGACGAGGAGGAATTCGAGAGACTTAGCAATAAACTAATCTTTCTCCAAATATTGGAAATAGGGGTATACAAACTTACCATGACGGATGGCATAGAGGGGATACCAAATTGCCTTCCACTATTGCCATGTGTTATGAATAATTGTCTGAATTTTTTTTCAGTTGGGGTGTTCTCCTCCCAGTGTAATTTCTACGAAGCTGACAGTCTTAGAACCTTTGCGACGCTCTATCTAGGCTGTTCATCGATCAAACACTGCCACATATGGTACGCTGGGAGGCCAAAGATCCCCTCGAGTGGATTATCACAGAAAGCGTTTTCATCGTAAACTGTGCCCTTATAGAGGAAGAATTGAGACTCGAGCAGAGAAGCTGAGCCAGCCTAACCAAATCTAACTCCTACCCGCTCGCTTATATGTTTTATACATATTGACCAAAAGGGAGGTAAGAGTAAATAAAGCACATTTCACAAAAGATTTACAGCATCATTCATTGAAGAACCGTACCATTTATGCAACCGCTTTGCAATTTTGCTTTTATGAGTAAGCTACAAGGATGGTAATCTTTATTGCAGATAAAGAGTCTGATGAGAATGTAGTGATCGGTCAAAGTCGGACTCTCAACCAAGCTGGGCACTCTTTCTCATTTGCAACTTTCAACTATTGAGCTGTACGACCAGGACGGACGTTTTTGCGTGGAAATTCGAAAACCACTTGAAAAACTTTTCAAGTTTCAACTCAATCTGAACAGAAATCTCAGTGACTTCGCATACTACGCTCACATAGTTGTCGGGTGTACATGGTACCAACCTCGAGAACAATCATCCTGTCTTTATCACCATTAGCTGAAGCAAATGTCAGGCAAATGAAAATTTGTTGAAAACTTTGCAGGGAATTTGTTTAGGTGATTCGGTCAGAACATTCAATTTAACTTAGCGAATGGTTCAGGTCCTTGTACTTCTGAAGGAAAGGAGCGGAACGCTCATCGTACAGAGAGAGCAAAATCGGAACGTTTCCTTTTTGGTCTTAGAAGAATTTGAGCCAATCAGGCATTTCATTTTTGAATAAAATAGTGACTAATTGTTTTCATGGATGACTGGCAGCATATGATTGTTGGTCCGGAAAATGTTCCGCTCCGTAGTCCATCGTAGAAGTCGAAGGCGCACCGAAAATGCCTCTCATGTCTAAACAGCTTTACTAAAACCGTGGCTATTACTCTGAATTAGATACTGCTAGCTGAATTTACATACTTGGCAATTAGTTATGATAACTCAATTGCATTGTTTTTTGCTTTTGCGTCTCATTTTCTTCTTCATATATTGTTGATGTTAATTAGAGTCAAAGCTAATTGCTTATACCACATCTTCTTGTTTTTATATGATACTTTGTTTTTGATTTGTGTTCTAGTCAACAAAACTCGGCCAACTTCTACCCTCAGCACGCATACCAGAGACAATCCTATGTTTCCATGTATCAAGCCTTTTAATTATAAGAATGCTTTTCATGCAGGTTCCATGTTTCGCTTCTCCTATTTGTTCCGCGCATAGAGCTGATTTGATGTGAGTAGAAGTTACAAAATTTACTAGGTTTCTACATATGATCTCTTCTTGTATAGTCACTCTCTATTGGGTCATCATCCACAATATTTCTAGCATGGACAGCCCCGTATTCAGCGATAAAGGATGAAGGGGTAAAGCTTCTTGGCGTTGATCGGTCCGGTTTCTTAGAATTTTGGTGGCTGTTTTATTAAGAGTGCGGCCTCTACAAAGACTTCCGGCGGTCAGCCGGTGTACATATTAGACGATCCTCCCATACGAGTCCGTTTCCAAGTAACCGACCCTGAAGAGTTAGAAGCTAGGTTAGCTTGGACGGATATCAGTCCGGGGTTCGATCCCCGGACCGATATCCGTCCAGTGTCTCAATGTGTATTAGTGTGAATCACTTCTGGTATACTGAGCTGAGGAAAATTCGAATAGAAGTTTAGCTCATCGACGAAAAAAAAAA